CGCCCGCGCTCCTCACCCGGTTTTGATGAGTTTTGCGCTTCCACGCATGCGCAGGACGCATACAGCGCCTGCGCGATCCTCCAGGAGCAGCTGGAGCATCGCACAGATGCTAGTACGCATGCATGCGCCGCACGCGTGCACGAGGACGCCGCCGGCCCTGTTCCAACCGAACCGGTTGGAACGGGGCGAGAAACCCACCCCTGACCTAACTTGACAACTGTAGTGATTTACTTAACTGTGGCCAGAGAGGTTCCAAAATGGGGTAAAACACACTTATAAACTGCCTCGTTTAGCAACAGAAATGTTGGGCTCAATTGTGATCATAAGTCGAGAACTACCTATACAAGCATACGATTCAACCGTAAATACTGAACTTATTAACTTACTTGCGGCCCTGTTTGGATCGGGAGGCACTTCAAACGGTCACTCACGCCCTTGTCACCTCGAGGCTGGATTGTTGCAACGCGCGCTACATGGGGCTACCCTTGAAAAGCGTTCGGACGCCGGCCCCGTTGCACCGTACCACTGTCTCCGTCGTACCGTGCTTCTCTTTAAAGCAATGTGAAATGGGAGTTTTTTCAAATAATCTTCGCAGGAGAGCCTGATGTCTGTGGCTGTGTACTATATACACATAGCCTGCCACCTCCATGCTGCATTAGGAAGTACATACTACAACCGTCCAAGGCATTTGGCTCTTTAAATAATTCGCCACTGGATGTCACACAAGGGCAGATGAAAGAATTACATCTTGAGGGTAGCTATTGCAGTTTTGGGACTGTATACAGAAGGCCAGATTAGGCATTAACTAGAAACTTATTTGAAACACCTAACCAAGTTCAATGATGATAAAATCATTAACTATGACCAAGCAATTAATAACGAAGAGTGTGATTCACAGAAGACTTGAGACATTTAGGGGAAAAAAAGGTATTCTTTGCTCCTGCAAAAAGGCAGCCTTGCAGGAAAACAGGCATTAAAAAGCATTTGTTTCAAGGGTCAGATTTACCAGGATTGGATCCTGCAGGTTGGACCCAAATAGATATTATGCAAGCAATTCTATTTCATTCCCCTTTGGCTCCTTGTAAGCCTTTGCTCCGTGTCTACTTATCAGATATTCCCAATCAGGCTACTCCAGATATGTCCAAGTTTACAAAAAATTGTAACACTACCTTAGTCTCAAATGCAGCCATGTTCCAGAGAGTGAAAGGGATCTAAGTTGTTCTTTCTGTCTTTGGCTTTGTTCACACAACTCATTGAGCCGAGATGGCGCAGTGGTTAGGGTGCAGCACCGCAGGCCACTTCAGCTGACTGCTATCTGAAGTTCGGCGGTTCAAATCTCACCGGCTCAAGGTTGACTCAGCCTTCCATCCTTCCGAGGTGGGNAGAATTCCCCAGCCAGCATTGGCAACTTGAAGATGTCTGGACTTCAACTCCCAGAATTCCCCAGCCAACCTTGGCCATTTGAAGATGTCTGGACTTCAACTCCAACTGCATTCGCTGGCTGGGGGATTCTGGGAGTTGAAGTCCAGACATCTTCAAGTTGCCAAGGTTGAGAAACACTCTACTAGAACAAGGGAAAGAGCGCCGTCCGGGAACCCGGAGCGGTTTCGGGCTCAACCTAGACAGCCGGCTCAGACGGCGCTGCCTTCCTTCAAGCCAGGCTTCCACGTGGCCCGGGGCTTTTTAGCCAGCCGTCGGGGCTGGTTTGCCTGCTCACCTGTCGATGCTGATCACGCAGAGGGTCATGATGGAGGCGGTGCAGCACATCACGTCCATGGCGATGAAGATGTTGCAGAAGGCCCTGCCGAAGATCCACTCGCCGCCGATGAGGTCGGTGACGCTGACGAAGGGCATGACGGCCACGGCCACCGACAGGTCGGCCAAAGCCAGCGAGACGATGAGATAGTTGGAAGGCTGGCGGAGCTTCTTGACGAAGCAGACCGAGATGACCACCAAGCAGTTGCCCGCGATGGTCAGCAGCGTGATGAGAGTCAAGGCGGCCCCGATCACCACTTTCTCCACGTTGCCGTAGCTCAGGATCTGCTCGCCGCAGTGCGTGGCGTTGCCCGGGCTGGGACCGGGGCTGCTCCCACCGACGCCCCCTCCGACGACGCCGCTGGGATGGGAGGTGACCCCTTGCAGGAGTTTCCCTCCGATCCCTAAACGGGGCGGATTTAACGAGCCCGAAATCATCCTAGCCCCGCCGGTGCCACCCCCCAACGGCCGCTCCGGAGCCCAGGAGTCCGACGTGCCGCTAGCCAAGACGGGGCAGCTTCTGGCACCGTGGCAAACCAGCCCCATGTTGAGGAGGGCTACCCACGGTGCCCACTGCCGCCAGCCCGCATGCCCGCTGCTCCACGCGACGGCGGCGGTGGGTCCCAGCGCTCCGGCTGCTGCTTACGCCCCCCCGGCCGCCGAAGCTGCTCCTCTCTCGGCTCGCTTCACCTGGAGCCGGAGAGGGAGCCCAAGCGCCGCTTCCCCGCCGCTGGCATCGTCTGCGGGGCTCCCTCCGGCGGGCGGCGGCGGCGGCGCGGGCGCAGAGCCAGGAGATCCGCCTCCGCAGAGGGCAGTGCCAGCTCGACGCCGACCCAGCTTCTTCTAAGCCGGCACCTCGCTCTTCGACGGCAATGGCCGGGATCCCAAGTCGGGCTAGAAAGCGGGAACTTGGCGGAGCGCTTCCGTCGATGGGGGAAGCAACGCGCCCGGGGGTTGGAGGCTACTCCAAGCCGCCTCTCTCCCCGCACGGAGCCCGAATCGTCGGGGAAGCTTCTGTGTCCTTTGGAGCGCACCGAGCGAGCGTTTCCCAAAGTCCGTCGACTGGTATTGCTTGCAAAAGAGACCCCGGAGAGGCTCCCTGCCTTCGCTCTTCTCCGCTAGCCGGCTGGGGTTTCTGCAGCCTCCGATGGGGCGGGTTTTCCTGGGCTTGCCACCGGCTTGGCTTTCCCTTCGTCGAACCGGTTGCGGGCATTGAAGCGCGCCCCGCGCAAGCTGGGCTTTCAGTGGCGTCAGAGGCAGCGAAGAAGCGGGGCGGTCTCGCAGGTTGAACGCGGCGATTTGTGTCTTTCCCCCCCCCCTGGCTTCGCTTCTCTTCCCACCCAGCCGCAGGTGGGGAAAAGGATCCCCCGTGGTCTCGTTTAACGTTAGGCAGGGCGGGATTTGGCCGTCTTTGGCCGCTTTCTCCCAGCCACCATCCTGTTCCCCCCTCCGATGTGGTTCACTGGGAGACGATGTCTTTAAATAGCCATGTCTCTGCAGGGGATTTCCAGTCCTTCCCCCTCCGGCTCTTCCCTTCTTCCTGGAGCTGCCACCGCAGTGCAGAGATGCTGGCTTCTTTCTTTCGGTTTTTTTAAAGAAAGTTTACAACGAAAGAAGAACGGATTGACACACCTGTCTGGGAAAAAGAGCAGTCTGCTTGAATTATTATTTTTAAAGGTTGATGGTTTTTAGGAGATCAACAGATTGGCGTTAAAATAATAATTGAAAGACTCTTGCGTTGATGCTTAGCAATAGCAATAGCAGTTAGACTTATATACCGCTTCATAGGGCTTTCAGCCCTCTCTAAGCGGTTTACAGAGTCAGCATATTGCCCCCAACAATCNCGGTGAGATTAGAACCGCTGAACTGCAGATAACAGTCAGCTGAAGTGGCCTGCAGTACTGCACCCTAACCACTGCGCCACCTCGGCTCTATTCCCCTGCACAGGTAGTTCTCAGCCACAATTCTATCCAAAATTTCTGTTTCCAAGCAAGTTAGTTGTTAAGTGAGTTTTGCCTCGTTTCACAACCTTTCTTGCTACAGTTGTTAAATGAAGCACCTTCCATCATTGACTTTGCTTGTCAAAAGCCAGCTGAGAAGGTTACAAATGATAATCACATGATCCTGGGAAAGTGAACTGTCATAAATACATGTCAGTTGCCAAGCACCTGAATCTTGATCATGTCATCATGGGGATGATGCAATGGTCAGAAGTCATTTTTTTTCAGTGCTCTTGTAACTTCAACAGTCATTAAATGAAAGGCTGTAAATTGAGGATTGCCTATCTTTAGTCTGCTAGTGACAATGGATGAATATTGCAGTTTTAAGACCCTCAATTCTCCTCGTCACTTAATTTCAGTGGATAAGGAAAGTTCCAAGGAAATTGTCATTAACCTCTCCTATAAAACTCTCACATCTTCCTCAATATAGGCCTGGCTAATTTTGATTTTAATATATTACAGCCCAAGCAATAACTGCAATTTTGATCTTTAGTTCAGGAGGGGGAGAATCATCTCACCTGGCCTGTATTCCTCCCGAGCTGAGTTAATCTGCACTTCAGTCTCAACTGAGGTTTGGAGTTTCTGGGTCACCTCTTCTGATGTTCTTTTCGTGTTACTAAGTACAATGATGAGACTCTCGTCTTCCACCAGAGAGCCTTGCGTGCTCGTCAGTCGATACAGCAAGTTGTCTTCCAGTTCTTTCATCTTCCTTTTGTTAGCTGTCACGTCTTCTATAAGATCGGTTCGCTCTTTCTCCAACTCCTGTTTAAAAGCATTTCACAAAGTCATACTTCAGCGTAATGTATCGTTGAAAGCAGGCCAATGAATACATGCATTTACAGTATAGTACCAATGCATTGCCAAATTGGTAGCCAAAGTATTATTACCATTATTACATTCATTCATTATCGTNCTCAGCATCTAGACATCTCATTGCAAAAGGCAAAAATAGTTACTTCTGCCCGCTTTTGCATATGGGAAGAATTTGCTCTTTCTCCCGGGAAATTATTTCTGACTTGATGCTTTCCAAACTCTTCTAATGTTCCAATCCCTCCAGAGTACTTATTATATAGTCTGCTTCCTCTGAATTATTCTCTTTTTCTCAGGCCCTTTTAGAGAATGCAAACTGAAGTTTTTGAACGCAGATCAGTGCTTGCTATGTCAACACATAACAAAAGCGAATATTTCGATTCTGCACAGGATTTTTATTTCCTAAGCCTCGTCGGCTCTGAGACTAAAGCCCTTGGAGAGGCTTAAGAACGATAACCAGAAATATGCTTAAAATGAGATCTCATTAGAAATCACTAAAGAAAAGGCTATGCTATCTGCTACTTTTTTCTTCTCATATTCTCCAGGGTAGGATATTATTTCTTTCTCCATGACTTAAGGCTATTGGAAGGCTATCTTCCTTGGCTCTAAGAAAGAAAGACTGAAATGGCACTATGTGTGACAGAGAGGAACTTTAAGACGGCAGAAACAAAAAGTTAGACCAGAGACATGCATGATCCCACCCAGTGGGCAGAAAAGGAATTCCTGCTTCAATGTTTATTTCCTTCTCCAATATCCTTCCTTTCAGTTTCATTCAAAGCAAAGATTATTTGCACCGGGAAGCTGCAAAGGACTTAGAAAAATTGAGGCATTTATGAATATTAAATCATAAAGAAATGAACCGATGGCAAAAATTAAAATGGAAAAAGATACCGTGCATATTTAGGGAAAGTTGCTGTGTAGACCAATTTTGTAAGAAATAAAGTAAGAAGTATTCTGGATCGCATTTTGTGCACATTCTTCCTTTCCCACTGTCATTTTATGGTCAAACATTTTTTTTATGCCTTAAGTCCTGCAGAACCTGTTCTCAAACTATGAGATTAATGATATGGGTTTGCAGATTCTAAACAAGGGCGGCTGTATCACACCGTTTCAGCTGTCTGAAAGCTGTGCCAATTTTTGTTAATCCAGGCTGTGAAAAATGTGAGATAATCAAAGTTACCTGGCAAGTGAAAGATCAAACAGGCCCAAAAACTGCCGAAGTGACGTTTGATACATGACATTTACCATGCTCATCTCCGTTATCAGAAAATAGAGAATGCTGCCTCTGGTAGCAACTGAACAAAACAAGATTGGATTGGATCAACAAAAAATGCAAAAACCACAGCAACTATTACATCTGTAATTATATAAAACCTCATAGTGACAATTGATGTCTGATAATAAATAGCTAAACCTGGAACCATTTTCTATTTAATTAAGAAAAGCAGATATCTTTTCCCCTCATCACCTTGTGTTTACAACATCACTGTATTCTATTCATCTGCATATTCAAAAAAACTGCAATATCAGTTCCAAATGAAATCTCTTTCACTGTTATTATTTACCACTCAATAAGAGGCATTCTTCACTTACAAAAGGACTCTCTTTTTTGGGGAAAATTTTAGATATTAGAGATCTATAGCAATAGCAATAGCAGTTAGACTTATATACCGCTTCATAGGGCTTTCAGCCCTCTCTAAGCGGTTTACAGAGTCAGCATATTGCCC